CCCTCCCAAATGTAGAAATGAAAAGTTGTGCTCTCCGACAAATATCCACTGGCCTTTGTAACCTCCCCAATAAGTGGCATTGCCTTGCAAAAAGATAGCACCTAAAGTCGAACTCTGGTAATTTATTCTGCCTCATAAGGTCACGATAAGGCTTTTTCTTAACGTCCAATATATTGGCACTATCATCTTTGACGTCTGTGGCACCAAAATCACCAAACCATGCCAGTGCTCTATCTAATTAAAGTGAGATGCGTAAGAAATATATGAATAATAATAGTTCAAAAATTATAATTAATTATCAGTTTTACTAAATCGCACCAATGGCGTTCAACACCACATATATTTTTTAATAATTTTGCTAGTAAACTTAGATTAGGGAACCTCAACTATGGTAAAGATATAGGTTTAAATTTTAGTTAGGGTGAGGTTTTTGAGAGTGCTGAACATCTTTCTTAGTACCACGTATGTGTGTTAGCTAGTACATTTTCTAAGATATAGCAACTGTGGAGTTGAACACCGCTGGTGCGATTTAGTAAAACCGTTAATCATTCGTACCTCTCAGAACTTGGAAAAAAGAAGCTTCTAATTCATCGTATTGAACTAAGGCCTCCTCATACAAATTAAAAACTTCAAATGTTAAAGCCAATCCTTCCTAGTCATGGACAAATGTATAAGTAAACATTTTGTATAAAAGCATTCTTGTATTACTACTCTTAACTAATAGGAAAATGAAATTACCTTTAAAACAAAAAAAGTACAATAATTCCAGCCAATCATGCTTCTTTGCGAATCAAATCTTCGAATGTCTTCTTCATATTGGCTCACATGCTGATCGAAGCTAGTCAATATACCTTCTTTTATTTTAGTCATAAGCTCCTGCCATGATTCGTATTCTTCAGCATCATTATCAGATAGTCGAAGTTGGACACATCTATAGTATAAGTGCAAGATTAGAAAAAAGAAAAGAAAATAAAGATTATATATATATATTATGCAACTTGCCTATCACGCCTGGAAGCATTAAAATCAGCTTTAATTTTATCAAAGACTGTTCCTTTCATATTAAAATATCTAGCAGCTTTTCAGAGATAAATTAGCTCTCGTTCTCATTTCATTTCGCAAATTTTTACATGAGTTCACTAAAGTATAATAAAGTATACAGTATATCATATGAATGTCATATGATTTATGTTCAAATCTCTGATACAAACTAAGGAAGCCAATCAAATAGTTTATCTAATACCTTAATTTGCGTAAAATTCCTGATAATTTAAATCTAGAGATCACAATGGACGGGAAGAAGGTCATAGTAACATGTAGGGATGATAAACCGGTTAGATTTTACTATATAAACTGAACTAGTTCTCGTTGTTTGATATTTGATTTTTAAAAGTAGTTAAACAGACTTGTTTAAAATGCTAAGATATAGTTTTGTTTAAAGTATCAAATGGGTGAGTACACAGCAAAACCATGCTTTAGAGTATATAGATTATATATACTCTAAGCATGGTTTTGCTGTGTACTCACCCAAATACTAATTTTGCCAATTTAAAAATATCACTATATAGTAATTAGTTATTTTTTCATTTTTATTTTAAAAATTGCTGGTTTATATCTTTTGAAAACAATAAGAAAAGCAAGAAAATACAGAAGAATATATACGTACAGAGCTAATAGCTTATAAAAATTGTTAAAAAGCTAGTGACGAAGTAACTTAACAATGATTATGTTAATAACATTTGAATCGTCTTAATGATTCGAATGATATGAAAATCTTAAGTATTTAATTATTTTAAGGTATGGGGTTGATTCAGTAGAAATCAAGCAAATGTTTCTATTTTTTTTAAACAACAATAACTCAATAAAAACTTAATCAAATTTAATAAAAATTTTTTATTAAATTTGATTTTGTTAAGTTATTGGTGTTTGAAGTTTAAAAAAAAATCAATTAATTAATTTCTACTGACTTACCCCAGGCCCCCGAATAATTATAATAGAGGTTATATTTGGGTATCTTATTTTAAATATCAGATCATAATATTTGATATTGTTATAGTTTTTTAAAATATATGCTTACTCATCAACAAAAGTTCCGTTTTTTTTTTTTTTTTTTTTTTTTTTTTTTTGGGATTGCAATTTTTTTTTTTACTATTTTTACTTTATAATTTTTTTTTGTATATTTTAATTTTTAGATTTT